TGAATTATATCTCAAAGAAAAAACCCTCAGGTGGGGAATGGGGGTTTATTTAGTCACCCCCTTCATCAAACAAGAATCCTTTAAGAGTGGTCTTGTCATTCAGGTTCATGAATAAGCTATTCCTATTCATTCATGAAACAAATACTGAGTAACTTAGCATAATGTCCTCCAGGTTCATCTATGTTGTTGCAAATGGCAGGATCTCTTTCTTTTTTAAGGCTCAATAATGTTCCATTGTGTATAGGTATGTGTGTGTGTATGTATATGTGTATATATAGTGAAATAAACCAGACACAGAAAGAAAAAATATTGCATGATCTCACTTATATGTTGAATAACTAAGAAAACATCAAATACACAGTAACAGAACAGTGGTTAACACGAGCATGTTTGGGTGATTGGAAGGGCAGGGATGAGGAGACGTAGGTCAAAGGGTACAAAGTTGTGAATGTGTAGTATTTAAGTCTAGAGATCTGTTATGCAGACTTCTGGATTCTGGATTCCGGAGATTAAAATCTACAGCATGAGGACTACAGTCAATCATGTTGTATGACGGAGATTTGCCAAGAGAGTAGATTTTAGGTGTTCTTACTACACACTTACACCAGAGGTAACTATGTGAGGTAATAAGACATGTTAATTTGCTTGACATAGTAATCATTTCACTGTATATATCAAAATACCATGTCGCATATTTTAGATATATATAATTTGAAAAAAAAAAGCAAGCAAAAAGTACTGATTTAGCTCTTACTATGACCTAGTCTAGATCCTGTTCTAGGAACTAGATATGTATCAGTGGACCAAACAGATAAAAATCCCCGCCCTTGTGGGTTCTGTATTCTCTTCTTGCCTTTTTCTTTCCTTTATCAGTATAACCACATTGCTCTTTCAGAGTGTTCTTTATACTGTCCTTATCAAGTCACCATCATAGCGCAGCTTGAGCTCCCTGCTGTGCAGGCTTTCTGGCAGCAGGAGGGCAGGGATGGTGGTCAGCAGGATGTGGCCTCTGTGGGCATGGCTCCTAGCTGGCAAGAGCGTCGGCACAGGGCCGAGGAGATTTGAAGAGGAGTGTTCTGAAGACCCTGTCCAGTACATATGTGAGAGCACCGCAGCCGCTAGGCAGAGGCTGGCGGAGCTGCCTGTATTGGAGCAGGGCTATTGGCAGCCACCTAGATCTGCCTGTCTTCCTTTCTCTGATTTTTTCTTTCTTCCCTTATTTCTGCTTCTTTTCCTTTTTCCCCATTCCCTCTTTCTTTATTAATATTTTATGAAATCTCTCAGACTATTTTTCTTCATCTATTTTCATTTGTTCTTTTCCTACCTCTCAGCTTGCCAGAATTGGATTTAAAAATTCATGTTTCTGTGTCCTTTCCTAACCAAAAAGTTAGATAATTTAAAGCTTGTATTTCCA